CTACACTGTTTTACATTCCCACCAGCAGTGTTTGAATGGTCCGGCTTCTCTGTATCCTCCCTAGCATTTTGTGTTGTAACTATTTTTTGCCACTATTTTCTATTTTAGACATTCTGCTAGCTGTGTAGTGATACCATTGTGATCTAATTTGCATTTCCCTGATGGCTAATAATGTCAAATATCTTTTCACGTGCTTCTCTGCCATATGGGTAACCTCTTTTATGTATGTCCTCTTTTATGAATATTCTGTTTATATCTTTGCCAATTTTCTAATTGAGTTTTTGGTTTTTTACTGTTGAGTTTTAAGGCTTCTTTACATATTTTAGATATTTGTCCTTTGTCAGATATGTAGTTTACAAATGTTTTCTCCCAGTCTATGGCTTGTCTTTTCATCCTTAGTACCTAGGCTCTCACAGAGTAAGTTTTCTCTTTTGATGGAGTCCAATTTATCGATTTTTGCTTTTCTAACTTCTGTTTTTGATGTCAAGACTAAGAACTCTTTGCTTAGTTCAAATCCCAAAAATGTCTTCATCTTTTTTTTACTGAAAGTTTTATTTTATATTTAATTTTTAAATCCATAGTCTATTTTTAAATGATTTTCATATAAGGCAGGAAATATAGATTAAGGTCCACTTTTTTGCCTATAGATGTCTGATTTTTCCAGCATCATTCGTTGAGGGCTCTTCTTCCTCCATTGAGGTGCTTTTGCACTTTAAAAAAAAATCAATTGAGCATATTTGTGTGGGTCTTGTTCTGAATTCTCTACTCTGCTAACTGTTCTATATGTCTATCCCTCCACCAATACCACACTTTTGATTACTGGAACTATATAGTAGGCCTTAATATCAGGTGAAGTGATTGCTTTTGCTTTATCTTCTTTGTCAGCATTGTTTTAGCTATTCCAGGTCCTGTGTATTTTCATATAAATTTTAAAATAAATTTGTATCTCCAAAAAAATAACCTTGCTAAGATTTTGATAGGAATTTTATTAGACCTGTAGATCAGTTTGGGAAGAATTGACATCTTTACTATGTTGAGTCTTCTAATTCATAAACATGGTATTTCTCCTCCCTTATTTAGGTCTTCTCTGATTTCTTTCATCCGCATTTTGTAATTCTCAACGCACATAAACTGTATTTTTCTAAGTTTATAGTTAAGTATTATTTTTATTTGAAATTGTTGTAAATAATATCATGATTCTAATTTTTATTTCCACATGCTCATTGTTAGTATAAAGAAATATGATTAATTACATATTACATATATGATCATATATCATGCAACCTTAGTGAACTCATTCATTTCAAGAGTGTCTTCATAGATTCCTTGGGAATTTTCTGTAGTCAATCATGTAGCTTGCCAACAGACCATTTTATGTTTACCTTTCCGAACTGCATGCCCTTTTTTCTTTTATTTGGCTTATTGCAGCAACTATTAATATAACTTACAATACTATGCCAAATAAGAAGGATGAAAGTAGACATCTTGGTTGTTCTTAATTTTAGGGAAAAGCATTCAGTCTTTCACTATTAAGTATGATGTTAGCTGTTTTGTAAATGCTATTTATCAAATTAATCTGTTAAACCTCTTTTCCTAACTTGCTGAGAGTTTTTTTTCCTTATCATAAATGGGTGTTGGATTTTGTCAAATGCCATTTCTTCAACAATTGATATGGCTATGTGATTTTTTTTCTTTAGCTTTTTTAGGTAATGTATTATTTTGATTGATTTCAACCATTGAACTAGCCTTACATACCTGGAATAAATCCTACTTACCTATATATTGACTGATTCAGTTTGCTAATATTTTGTTGAGGATTTTTGTATCTAAGTTTATTATAGATATTGGCATGTAGTTTTTGTTTTGCTTCGTTTTATTGTCTTTGTCTGATTTTGGTGTCAGGATAATACTGACCTCATAAAATGATTGAGAAAACTTTTTCGCCTCTATTTTTTGGGAGAAATTATGTGAAAATGGTATATTCTTATTTAAATGTCTAGTTGATTTTGCCAGTGAAACCATTTGGCCTGGACATTTCTGTTTGGAGAGATTTTAAACTATAAGTTCAATTTCTTTAGAGGTTATAGGGCTACTTATATTGCCTATTTCTTCTTTGTTGAGTTTTGGTGGATTGTAGTTTTCAAGAATTTGGTCCATTCTAAGTTATCAAGTGTATGTGCCTAAGGTTACCATAGTACTCCTTCATTTTTTCAGTGGTTGTAGCACCTGTGGTGATATCCCCTATTACATTCCTGACATTGGGGATTTTTGTCAGCTCTCAAGAAAGAGATTTATCAATTTTATTGATTTTTCTCAACCACTTTTTTGTTTCATGGGTTTTTCATATTGTTTTCCACTTTTCAATTTCATTAATTTATGCTCTTTTCTATATTATTTTCTTCTATCTGCTGCCTTTAGGTTTATTCTACCCTTCTTTTTCTAATATCTTGAGGTAGGAGCTTAGATTATTAATATGAGAACTTTTTCATCTACAGTGTAAGCATTTAGTGCTATAAATTTTTCTCTCAGTATTGCTTTTACTGATTCCTACATATTTTATGTCATTTTTTATTTTCATTCAGCTCAATGTATTTTTTTTTAATTTTTTGAGACTTCCTCTTTGACCAGTGGATTACTGAGAAGAATACTGATTAATTTCCACATGTTTAGAGATTTGCTTATTGTCTTTCTGTTACTGATTTCTGATTTTATTCCACTGTGGCTTAAGAACATGCTCTGTCTGATTTTATTCTTTTAAACTTGTTGAAATTTGTTTATGACCCAGGATATAATCTATCTTAATAAATATGCTATGGGTGCTTTTTAAAAATGTGTATTCTGCTAATGTTGGGTGGGATGTCTCATATCAGTCAGATCCTGTAGGTTGAATGTGTTGTTCAAATAGTTTATATACTTGTTAATTTTCTTTCTGGTAGTTCTATTCCCATAGTTCTGAGCAGGGATAGGGTGGGGTGATAAAGTCCCCAAATATGACTTAAGATGTGTCTATTTTTCCTTTCACCCCCATTAGTTTTGCTTTATAAATTTTGAGACTCTCTTGTCATTTTTTCCCTCACCTCCTTAAAAAAAAAAAAAAAAAAAAGCAGCAAGCAATATTTCTGAACAATAGGCCTTGAATAAAGAACTTGTAAATGTAATTTATCCTGCCTCACTGCAACATAAAAATAGTGCAGTGACCTTGGCATACCTAAGAACAATGGGCATATATCTGTCATCTGTTAAGATCAGTGGGCATATTGGTGTCATTTGTTTCCATGAAGAAGAAAAATTACTACATGGTAGTGTCCGGGGGCTCAGGCCACATTTGGGATTTTCTTGGGATCCCTCATAATATGAATTCTCACAACCGGAGCGCCAAATGTCCTGGCATAAATAGGAATTAGGAACAGGGATAAAAAGTGGACCTGCCATTCAACCTAGGTTGGGCACAGGCACAACTACATGGGTATTTTAGGCCTGAGTATGTTTTCTGTATTTGGAAAGATATGCTGGATTAAAAACAAGTGATCTGGAACTTTAGATACCTTAATAAACGAACAGATTCAACTACCCAGATATACATTCAAAACCAAAACAAAGCCAAAACGAAACAAAACCCTGGGATAATTGATGAGTGTATGTTGACCCTAGTTTCAGTTATCCATGTGTAAGGTCATCTTTGAACGTTTATTCTATAAGTAATTTTGAATAACTGTGAGTAAGCGGTGATGATATTAGGTATTTATTTCCCATGATAAGAAATATTGTGGATTACTTAGTATCCTACAAATAAAAGAAGGATAGAATGATATAACTCTACTAGGCATTTCAAAAGTGCAGTATATCATCACATGCTCTAACTAAAGAAACAGACATTTGCCTGAAATTGGCAACAAAAATGCCACATTTATAAATTTGGTAACTGTTTTTATCCTGGGAGTAGAATGGGAAAGTGGGGAGTAGGTTAAAACTTTTATTTTCTCTGCTTTATATTTTTGTGATGTTTGGAAGTTTTAATAAAGATCACGTATCACTTTTATAATTAAACTGTTATAATAAAAATCTGTATTCTACATTATAAATGTTGAATCAACACTTGCTTTAAAACAAGAAAGAGAAATACTTTTTAAAGGAAAAACAATTTTGATAAATTAAATGCCTGTCTTTATAGGAAGAAACAACAAGGTGACTGTGCTAAGCTTGCTCCAGAGATGCTTTTGTTTTACAAATTCCATTTGGTTTTTCATTCTATCACCGACTGTTTAATGAGCTACTTTAGCTGGCCTTTCCCCAGGGTTAACTCACAACTCTTCCTAAATAATCTCAGTCATTTTCCTGGAACAGGTGTTTTCTAGGCAGCTCTCGCCAAAGGGTAGCATAATAATTAACAAGTTTCAGATCCAGAGGATTCAGGGTCTCATTTCTGGCAAAGGATATACAGGTCTCACACTGTAATGCTTTTGAAACTTACTGTTTTATAAGGAGATTTTGACACTGTAACAAAAGAACTATGTATACTTCTAAATATTTGCTTCTTTTTCTCCAAGAACAACTATTGAAGATTTAGAGATTATGTCACTCCTTGCAGCAAAATGAAGCTCTATTTTCTGTAAAACTTGCCATTATATTTCAGGATCCACTATTTTATTTCAGATATTTCACATGTTACTGGGTAGCTAAAGTCAGCTACACTATAAATTCCAGACAAGACAGATTCATTATTCAGCCTGCACACTTAGTATTGAAACTGACTCCCAAATTTGCGAAGTATTAGTGACTTGAAAAGGAATAGCATTCCGTGATAGGAAATGCCAACAATGTGAGGTTCAAATGCTCTGCAGATTTAGTTTAATTTGGAGAAAGGAAATATTCTTAATGTTAGATGTTAACAACTAGATCCTTTAGACAAAGTGCCTAAATATCCGAAAGTATTCATAGAGCTTCTTGCTGTGCTTTGCTCCATAATGCTTCTCTCTGATATGTCTTATCTGATATTTTAGGAGTTCGTGATGATTGTCGTCTTTGGTTTGGAGTTCATCATTCGAATCTGGTCTGCGGGTTGCTGTTGTCGGTATAGAGGATGGCAAGGAAGACTGAGGTTTGCTCGAAAGCCCTTCTGTGTTATAGGTGAATATCAGAGTCTCAGCTACCTGGACTGATGACACTAGCATCCTTTCCTTCTATCTCCTGTTTTGCAATATTTGATTAATATTAAAAGCTAACATCCATGGAATATTTATCATGGACCAGGCACTCTTGTGTTTTGAAAAGGTTGACTCATTTAATCTTTTACAGCATTATGAAGTAGATATTTTTATTATCCCCATTTTACAGTTGAAGAATTTGAGGCAAAGAGAGGCTGAGTTAGTTGCTGAATGTCATACAGCTACTAAGTGGTAGAGCTGGAATTTTAGCTAGGCAGTTTGGCTCTAGAACACCCACTTATATCAGTTGACTTATATGGAAATATATGGTTCTCCAGTGTTGCCCTGATTTAGGGGAGCATTGATTTCAGTGAATATAAAAAACTTTTTTTGCTCTACAATATGACACCAGATTATGCTTTGGATCAGCTGGAATAGATAGCCATACATTGGTACTGGTAATGCATATCAATTAACATTCTTCAAGAATGATTATAAGTATGGTTTACTTAATGCATTGGCAACTTTAGACTGAACGAAGTGTTCTACGCTCTGAAATACGAGTCCCCCACCCTCCAACCCAAAATCCCCAAATACATAGCACATCTCTGTACCTCCCTAGCTGCTGTAGTGTCTGAGGGACATCATTCACCTGGGTTCCAGCTTGAAATTATACTTCCCAATGAAGAGGCCATAGAACATTCTGGAATTAAGATCTAACATTTCTCAGTAGTATTTAAAAGTATTATAAAATTGAAAAGTCTATATACAAGAGCTATTATTATTATTATTTAGCAGCTAAATTTGGTTTTCTTGCTTTTTAGTCTCTATTACTTCTTAGGCAGTCATTCAAACTCAAATACTAAAAATTCTTGATGAGGCTTATTTATTTCAACTATTTTCAATCTGAAAAAAGTAGGTTTTTAATTTACAAAATAGTTTAGACTATCTTCTTCAGCTACCACAGGTTTTCTGTTTTGTTTTAGGAGTCAGGAATTGCTGAGTAATCTTCTTAGTTTCCTCCCTTACTTCTGTTCCCTACTGTGGGGGCAGAGTGGATTCAAGGAAGAAAGTGTATCCCCATCCGTGGGCACTGTTAAGAAGACTCCTTTATTCCATACTTCTTTCATAGTATGCACATTTCAAAAGTCTTCATTTATTAAACCAGAATTTATGGAAATTTGGTTGTGGGTGAGACACTAGTTTTACAATAGTGAATCTAGTGAAATTCTAAGTTAAATCTATCTTAAAATAGATTTGGCCCTTGTGAATGCAGTCTGTTTGTCCAGCTGCCTATCTTCTCCAATAATAGGCTTTACTTCTTTTTGGAAGCTGTTATGCTAAGATATGGAGGAAAGTAGGTGGTAACTCCCAGCCTTGAAGGTTCTTGAAGCCCCAAGGCATATTAGTGAAGGCATTATATTTTTCTCCCTGGAGATATATTTTTCTCTCTGAATTCTCTACTCAGGCAGCATTACGAAGGACTATAACTTGATGTGAAACTACTGCACAACAAGTACTTTCTGTCCCATAAGGGGCCCAAACAAAACAATTCACAAGGCAGATGGTTAGCCAAGATTCACTCAGCTTCTACAGGATAAGGTCAGTTCATGGATGACTGGAAAGATGTTTCATTCCAGATTTTGAAACCAATTAAAAACTGGTTTTGTTACAATTCCAGAAGCAATGCCAACGTATCTCTGGCCTCCGTACTAACCAGAAGATTTTTTCCCAAATATCTGTTGCCTTTTGATAACTGTTTTCAGTTATAGATCCATCAACACACCTTAGTCCTTTAGTCTTTCTCTTCCTTTCTCAGGTCCTTACAGGTCTGGATATATTATGTAGTTCTAAAAATAATGTTACATTATCTATGTTCTTACTTGCCTTTGGACCTAGCAATAGTGACCTTAAAAATTTAGTATGAGTCCTGGCGCAGTCACTGCTGCCTGTAATCCCAGCCCTTTGGAAGGCTGAGGAAGGCAGATCACTTGAGCCCAGGAGTTTGAGACCAGCCTGGGATGAAAAGACCCTGTCTCTACAAAAATTGAAAAATTAGCCATGCGTGGCAGCATGCACCTGAAGTACCCACTACTCAGACAACTGAGACTGGAGGATCACTTGAGCCCAGGAGCTCGAGGCTGCAGTGAGGCATGTTCCTGCCACTACACTCCAGCCTGAGTAACAGAGTAAGACCCTGTCTCAAAAAAAAAAAAAAAAAAAAAAAAAAAATTTAGTATGACATGGTTTAGGCATAATTGCAGTTTTGTTAGCCCGTCAGACCTTTTCTTTATTTAGATATTTTACTTCTAGTAATTTAATTGCTTTGGAAGAAAATTTCATGGATAAATACATAATGAATCCCATTAGAACAAGGTCTAGATTTGTACTTACAGTTAGGATACCTATGAATTTTTTTTAGTCTTTTATTAAATGTACGTGTTTGATCCAAGGTCCAGCTGAACAGATGTTATAGTGAAGCACGTTCAAATATGGCTTATCAGCATGAGGTCAGTAAAATTTAACGTACACAGAAGAATCTAACATCACCTTCCTGAAGGCAGCAAGCTGTACCAGATAACTGTTGAGACTATTTCTAGGCCTGTTCAACAGGTTCATAAAAATGCTTGATGTAACTTGTAAAATAGTCAAGTGAACACTGTAGTCCCCTTGTTCAAGCTAATTTACTGTGACAAACTGAAAAAAGGAATAGCATCTCTCATCTGTCCATGATAACTGTTCTGAATGTTTGGAAATGTAGCTAAAACCTCTCAAAGCTTCATGTATTTGTAAGATTTGATTACTCTGAACATGCCAAATATACACCCAAATGTTTTTAGAAGTCTTTTCTTGATTCAAGAAAAGAACATAGAAAAGATTGTGGTAAACTGGCTGTGCCTTCTACCTGAGAAGTGCTTTCTGTAAGCACACCAATGTTTTCTTTCCAGTTCAAAACAGACTAAAGCTGCTACAGTGGTCAGCTAACAAGCCTCATACAGTATTGCACCCTATTGACAAAGGCTCAATTGATAGAGGTTTTATAGGCTAATTCCTGAAGATTTTTAGCATGTCTCCTTCTGAACTGCCCACCCTCCTTACCCTTGTACTCTAGCCAGAACCAAGAGCATTTCAAAAGCTCATTGATTTCATAAATCATAAAATCATTGCATATTTGTGTTTGGAAAATGTATTTTAAATAATTGTAATATAAGGGAAGAAAAAATCTATTTAATGTTTTTAAATTTGGTACTTTCTCTCATTACTACTGTATATTGATTTATCTCTACTTGGTTTTGAGAGTTTGCTTTGAAAGTTGGTAAAATTTATCTAGAATATAAAATTCTTCCTTATATATATATGTGTTCAATTTTTATCTCTCCCCCAAGACTCTTCTGTCATAATAACATTTCTATAGCTATGAGCAATAATTGCTGCACTGCTGATTTGGATAGTCAAGTGTATTTTGGAATGACCATCCAAGCTACCCTTCATTTACCTGGGCTGGCTGCTTTATGATTTCTCTATGTGCAAACACAAATCACTCACCCAATAACATCAGCATAAAGAATTTGTGAATAACCTCTAAGACTGATTTCATAGTCATTCTTTTTCTAGCTTTCATTACTGACCTACCCGAAAATTGCAAATAGTGCCAAAGGCTGATACTCGGATCACAATAATGAGCCTGATGTGTCAGGAAGCCAACAAATTACTTCTCACAGTGGCTTTTTAGATTCCTTGATGATGCTTTTCAAAGGCAGATACAACAGGGCCATATTTTTCAGTCTTGCAAGAAGTCTCAGTGAAGCAGAAAATACCAGCCTGTTATTAGTCTTCAGTCTATATTTGATGCCAAGTATAAGTTGATTTCTTATTGTGATTTCAACAGTTTCTTTTCAGTGTAATTATTTTCACAAGAGGACAAAAGATGCATAAAAATAATTTTATTTTATCCTACTTGGATAAAATTTTATCCAAGTAGGATAAAATAAAATTGAAGCCTTTATTAAAATAAACCACATTGCTGAGGCTACTCTAATATATCTATGATTTCATCTCATTAAAAGACAAGTTGCTAATGTGTTCAAAAGTTATATCACAGACTCCCAAAACTGCCACTGGGTTCTAAATTGATTTGAGACATCATTTTTCTATTTCTCTACCTTCTCCATCTTTTGTTCTAGAAGACTCTTGAGTGACATTATTTTCTATACCTTCTACTCTCTTCCTCTTTAGTAGAAATTATTATTTCACTTATTTCTTGTTAGTCATATACTCTTCTGTGACTTTTTACTTCTAAGTGTTCAGACGCTCTCAGTGCACGTAGATTCCTTCCATGTGATTAACTGGACCATCTGAAGACAATTCAAACCCCTTTGATTGACTGATCACAAAACATTAAAACCATTTCAATCCCTCTAGTTAATAATAGCTGATATTTATTGAGAGCTACTATATATTAGGTACTACTCTAAGCACTTTATAAATATGGTCTTATTTAATTCTACATACATACTATAATGTTCCATTTTATTTTGTTTTATTTTTTGAGACAGAGCCTCCCTCTATCACCCAGGCTGGAGTGCAGTGGCAAGTCTCAGGTCACTGCAACCTCCACCTCCTGGGTTCAAGCCATTCTCATGCCTCAGCCTCCTGAGTAGCTGGGACTACAGGCAAACGCCACCACACCCAGCTAATTTTTGCATTTTTCATAGAGATAGGATTTCACCATGTTGGCTGGGTGGTCTTGAACTCCTGGCCTCAAGTGATCTACCCGCCTCGGCCTCCCAAAATGCTGATATTACAGGTGTGAGCCACCATGCCTGGTCTTTATAAGTAAGAAGTAAGACAAGACTTAAGAAATGTGCCCAAAGTTAAGAAAGAACCTAGATCTATTTCTCATTATTTCACTCTAGTAAAGTATACATACCCAACTGGAAAATTTCCTTTACTGTTTATTAGCATTTTAAAATTAAATTTAGG